AAGTGTCTTCAGTTGCTTTCCAATTAATGTCATCGCTTTCTAAGTGAAATAAGTGAGATACAACAGCGATCTCATTTTGATTTTCCTTTCTCATATGGCATTACCTAGCATTACACATACAAACATACACTCTTCAAAATAAAGATTCTTTATTGGCATCTATGGTTCCATGAAGAACCTTGAACATCCATGGAATCTTTCCATTCCACAAAAGGTTCTTAAAATATTAAAATGTTCTTCAAACTAACAAAAAACTGCTCCAAAAATGGTTCTTCTAAGGCATCGCTGTGAAAACACCCTTTTGGATCCTTTATTGTTAACGATGTAGGGGAAGAAATGTTCTTTAGATTATTAAAATCTTCTTTACACTAATAAGAAAAATAGTTCTTTAAGAACTGTTTACTGAAACGTTCTTTGTGGAACACAAAATGGTGTTCCAGTAAGGAGTTATGAAAGAGCAATATCTGAACAACACAATTTTCCTCTTGGTAGATGGATTGATTTTTATGTCTTGATTTTGTACTTCCTCGTGCAATTTCTTTCACTGCATAGCACATACAATAAACTGCAAGCATACTTTAAAGCACATACAGCATCACCAGAGCCCTGCGGAAAAGCTCCCTGTAACAGTGGCCAACTTTTCCAACGCTAATCCCATCTGTGATTTGTTTCTGTGTGAGCAGGAAAAGCATAATCCCAAAACAGCAGTGCTAATCTCACACAAAGATAATCTGACACAAAATTGAACAGCTCTGAAGTAATCCCATCACATTCAAAGAGGAGCCCACATGCTACAGTCACAAAAGAGATTTCACATCTACAGTTTTTTCTATATTCCTCATATCAAACTTAATGATATTTCCATTACCCACATTTTAATTTCCCCTGACGGAACAGGTCATGATCGAGAATCTGTCTTCACAGTTTAAGCAATCAAACCCGAGAAACAGATACAGCTACTTCCTGTGTCCATTTCTCACTGGCTGACATGTTTTCTGTCTCTCCCCAGTTATCTGTTTTGACACCCTCTCCACTCTATTACCTGGAAAAGCTCTTAGACGTTTAATAAGGGACACTTGATGTGTCCAGACGTCTTTCGGTGGGCTGCGGTAACGCGAGACAGGTAGCGAGAACGAGAGGAGGGGGATTGAGGAATTAGCTTCGGGTTTTATCCTTTCTGCTGTAATATCGCACTAAGGTACTTAACAGGAATATGACAGTAAGTAGTTGTTCTTCATGCTGTGCTATTATCATATTGCTTTACAGCTTGTTTGAGCGTGCCAGCGTGGGACAATGGTTTCATCGTCACATAGAGTGACAGATATGGCAACATTGCATGCTACTGACATGACATGTTAAATTCTGCTAAATATTATGGCATGCATTTCACTTCCACACAATGCATTTGCAGTGCAGATGACATATAAACAAAAAATAGACCACAATAAATAAATGAAGTGAACAGACTAATGAATGAATGAATGCATGAATGAACAGGTGATTTTCACACTGTCAAGAAATGCATAAACCATATTTCAACCAAAAATCATGAAAAAAAAACATCTTAATAAAAATCTCTCACTGTCAAGAAATGCATAAGCCATATTTCACCAAAAAATCTAGAGGAAAATAAACAATATAGAAACTGTTTAAAAATGTATGAAATGAAATTAAGCATAAAAATAAATTTAATTAATTACTGAATTATTTAATATGTAATCATTATTTATTGAATAAATAAAATAGATTGATTCGTTTTTTCATTGTATTTTTTATTTATTGTGACATTTTTATGCATCATCACTAGCCCACTGTACTAGATAAAATCATCATTACTATAATAATAAAAAGGTATATTATTTAGACAGTAAAGTGCTATTTTAATTGTTGGATGAAATTTAAATTATGCTGATTTTTTAAAAATAAAATCAGGCACACAGGATGATTTTCATTACTGTATTACAGTAATGAGAATGTTTTTATGTATTTTTTTTTTTTTTTTGCACATTACGATAATGAAAATAGGATGGGGGTGCTTAATTGTCATGCAATACATTCTAATGTCCTTAAAATATCTAAAAAATATTTTCTTTATACAATAATTGTTTTTTTGACATATGAACTGGTCTTTTCATTGTAAGGTTCACCTAAACATTTACATCTTTTATTATTTTGTGAAGCTTTATTCTTAACAGCCAGCATTAGAAATGTCACCAGAATGAGTGTGAGCTGAGCGAGTCGAGCGAACAGCACACCTGTGAGGCACAGAAGTGAACATCCACCTACATCATCTGCTCAGTAAACAGCCACAAAGACACTACGACAACCAGCCATTATGATGACAATACTCATATTCTGAACACAAGAGTCACATTTGTTTCATCTATCCACTCTTACACACTTCCAGCACCATTTCATTAAGTCATACTTGAATGAATGACTTTTCCATACATTATACAGGGCGATCACTGGAAAAGGAAAGGGGGCGGGGTGTTATTTATGATCTGATTATGATTATTTATGATGGGGACAACCGTCTGTGCAGAATGATTTTAAAGGCATCTGAGGGACGATATTCCCTCAATCCTCAAATTTCAACAAAAATAAAAGGGACCAACAAAACAAGCAACAGTTAAGAGACTACAACAAGACCTCTGCACTCCAAGCTAAATGAATGACTGCATAAAATCAAACAGTAAATCACAGCTTTCTACTATGACAGTATTATTTGCTCTGAAGCATCAATCAAAATCTGGAGTTTTTTTTCTTCTTCTTCTTGAAGGATGCAAGAACTGACACAGCATTCTTGATGCATAACTGCAGGTTTTACCTGTCCTTCACAAAATGCATAGTTATTTGGGTGCCATATAGTGAAGTATGAAAATGCAGTGCATATGCCTAGAATTCCTCAAATGAAATCTGCAAGGACACATATGAGGCAGCTCAGATTCTCCCCAACAGATGTGAGTTAGACGAATCTACGAGCATAAAATCCAATCAGGACAGCAAAACAGCAGATAGAAAGACAGCCTGTTGATCACACAACACTCGTGCAAAATCTAATATAAGTCAATAAATTCTGTTCAATATGATGTATGCAGGTATGCGTGATGAAAGTTGCACGCTATCAAGCACAGACTCAAAGATGCTTCATTCATGCAACACACTTATAAATCCCACAGCAATGCTATTTTAAGAGACGATTTTAGGGTTTCGATCAACCTCATATCCTAACTGTTTCCAGAGAGCCAACAGACAACACGGATTCATTTCAAATCAACGGAAACATACCCATCTCTGCGTACTACGCATGATTCATTATAGCATTTATTCTGCACTGCTTCTTTTAAACTCATTAATTAATATTATTGCATATGTTCTGACTTAATTACTTGAAGGTATGGTCTATATATACATATAGGCTATATAATTTAATTAAGATTGGTTACAGCGTGGCTTATAGGCCTACGCAAAACGCATTACATGCTTGCATACTTTTTTTTTTTTTGCTGTATATCAAGTGGTTCTCAAATAATATTTGAACACTACATTTTCACAAAAACAAGTAGGCTATGTTAGGTTTCAAATTATAGATACAAATCAAAGTCAACATGAAATCAAACGATCCCTTGCATGTATTTATTTATTTGTTTATTTGTTTGTGTGTGTGTGTTTTGGATGAAGTCTCTTTTGCTCACAAAGGCTGCATTTATCTGATAAAAAATAGAGTAAAAAAAGTCATATTAGATATTATTACAGTTTAAAATACCTGTTTTCCATATAAATCTATTTTAAAATGTAATTTATCCCTGTGATGCAAAGCTGAATTTTCAGCATCATTACTCCAGTCTTCAGTGTCACATGATCCTTAAGAAATCATTCTAATATGCTGATTTGCCGCTCAGTTATATCATTAGAAATAGCTTGCATTAAAAAATATATATATATTAAAATGGAGAAAACTTTTATTTTAGACGAAGTGAACATCCACCTACATCATCTGCTCAGTAAACAGCCACAAAGACACTACGACAACCAGCCATTATGATGACAATACTCATATTCTGAACACAAGAGTCACATTTGTTTCATCTATCCACTCTTACACACTTCCAGCACCATTTCATTAAGTCATACTTGAATGAATGACTTTTCCATACATTATACAGGGCGATCACTGGAAAAGGAAAGGGGGCGGGGTGTTATTTATGATCTGATTATGATTATTTATGATGGGGACAACCGTCTGTGCAGAATGATTTTAAAGGCATCTGAGGGACGATATTCCCTCAATCCTCAAATTTCAACAAAAATAAAAGGGACCAACAAAACAAGCAACAGTTAAGAGACTACAACAAGACCTCTGCACTCCAAGCTAAATGAATGACTGCATAAAATCAAACAGTAAATCACAGCTTTCCGCTATGACAGCATCATTTGCTCTGAAGCATCAATCAAAATCTGGAGTTTTTTTTCTTCTTCTTCTTGAAGGATGCAAGAACTGACACAGCATTCTTGATGCATAACTGCAGGTTTTACCTGTCCTTCACAAAATGCATAGTTATTTGGGTGCCATATAGTGAAGTATGAAAATGCAGTGCATATGCCTAGAATTCCTCAAATGAAATCTGCAAGGACACATATGAGGCAGCTCAGATTCTCCCCAACAGATGTGAGTTAGACGAATCTACGAGCATAAAATCCAATCAGGACAGCAAAACAGCAGATAGAAAGACAGCCTGTTGATCACACAACACTCGTGCAAAATCTAATATAAGTCAATAAATTCTGTTCAATATGATGTATGCAGGTATGCGTGATGAAAGTTGCACGCTATCAAGCACAGACTCAAAGATGCTTCATTCATGCAACACACTTATAAATCCCACAGCAATGCTATTTTAAGAGACGATTTTAGGGTTTCGATCAACCTCATATCCTAACTGTTTCCAGAGAGCCAACAGACAACACGGATTCATTTCAAATCAACGGAAACATACCCATCTCTGCGTAAATGTCGCGTTTCCAGCAGGTTTTACAGCCTTTCGATGTGCGGTTCCAGATTCCGCATGGCACCGTCTTCAAACACACTCAGAAAAGAGCACCTGCCCAAAGATGCGGTGCCCGAGATGTTGGCGAGGTTCGGAAAACTCCGGCAACGGCAGCGTTATTTCAATCCCCCGCAGCTGCGCCGCTGCGCAACATGTCCAAGTGAACAACGGAAAAATCCTAAACGCTCTTTCCAGCGTAAAATACAAACATTAAGGGTTTACTTAACGAGAAGGTCCTTAAAAGAACATTTCCAGTGAGTACGCGTGTGTGTGTGTGTGTGTGTGTGTGTGTGTGTTTCATGATTATTAAAACCCTCCTCTCATAAAATATAAAGTCAAATTTTCACAATGCAGTCAATTAATGAGAATTTAAAATAAGTTCTGCCCAGAAGAAGAAGAAGAAACATTGTGCAGATGCCACTTGGTTTGATATTTCATTATCCAATGCTATGAAATTCAGACATTTTCAAATGTGTCCAAATATGTTTTGTGGGCACTGTAGGTTTAACCAAACTGCTGAGAACACGAACAAGGATGGACGAAAACTATTGCCAAGCAACACTGACACCTTTATACATTGTGACATCAGCTTGCACAACAGAGCAGGATATCTGGATTCACAAAGACTGTCCAGCTGTAACATAAAAGCTATTTATCTGACAGTCCTTCATTACAAAAACCCTTTTAGAAGCAATGCAAATGCAAGCAAGCTAAACATGGGAAAGCATCTTTAAAGGGTGCAGTGGTTTACATAAGCAGTTCATTTCTGTTTGTAAGCCAATTTAACAAACATCCCACTCCTCTATGAAACAGTTCAAGAGAATATGACCTCCTAATGTCATTGTGCATCAGGGTCAACACCATAATTTCCAAAGTGGCTGTCTGAATCTGCTACGTATGGTCCATCTAATTAGAGATAATGGACACTTGAGCTCATATCTGTAATATGCTGAATTTGGCTCCAGAAAATACAGCTGGGAAGCACCAATCATGCCAAATCCGCCACTCAGCATCAGGCTGGAAGGAGAGGGAATCTGTCCATCGCTATTGAGGATACAGATGATCACGGACAATAAAGCGACAGCAGGTTCAGGCCTCGGGTGGAACAGAGTGTTTGTGTTGTGCGTTCAGCCTCACAAAAGGCCGATCTCTGTTGTGATGATGAGCTCAGGACACACTGCGGTGATGCATGGAAAACAAATGCAAACGAGTGCCAAATCCACATCTTCACGGGTGGTATGCACTATCGTGTTTGAGAAGAACAAGAAGTGACTTTACAGCATTGGGGGATAAATTCGACTAACCTAAAATGCAAATTTGCAGAAAATGTACACACCCTCAGGCCATCTAAAATGTAGACGAGTTTGTTTCTTCATGGGGAACAGATTTGGAGAAATTGAGCATTACGTCACTTGCTCACCAATGGATCCTCTGCAGTCAATGGGTGCCGTCAGAATGAGAGTCCAAACAGCTGATAAAATACCATTACAATGTTTTTAGCTTTCGATCTAAAATGCGAGTCCTCTCTCCATAATATTGCTTTCTCCAGTGAAAAGGTTGTCTTGTCTGAATCAGGAGAGAAATATGAGCAGATTAAGCAGTGTTTACAAGCAACAACAGTCCAAAACAAGTTCTAAACAAATATGTGGGTGGATCTGAATGTGAGAGGACAACAGTCAATGGACTTTTTCACTACAGGAAGTGTTATTATGCATTATGGAATTTTGACTAGAAGTTGTTAAAATGCTTTAATGACTGATTTGTTTCTTACAAGCCATGCAGCTTTTCTTTTCACAAGACATTAACTGATGGACTGGAGTGATATGGATTACTTGTGGATTATTGTGATGTTTTTATCAGCTGCAGAGGATCCATTGGTGAGCAAGTATACATTTCTCGAGAGTCCAAACAGCTGATAAAATACCATTACAATGTTTTTAGCTTTCGATCTAAAATGCGAGTCCTCTCTCCATAATATTGCTTTCTCCAGTGAAAAGGTTGTCTTGTCTGAATCAGGAGAGAAATATGAGCAGATTAAGCAGTGTTTACAAGCAACAACAGTCCAAAACAAGTTCTAAACAAATATGTGGGTGGATCTGAATGTGAGAGGACAACAGTCAATGGACTTTTTCACTACAGGAAGTGTTATTATGCATTATGGAATTTTGACTAGAAGTTGTTAAAATGCTTTAATGACTGATTTGTTTCTTACAAGCCATGCAGCTTTTCTTTTCACAAGACATTAACTGATGGACTGGAGTGATATGGATTACTTGTGGTCTTTTGTGATGTTTTTATCAGCTGCAGAGGATCCATTGGTGAGCAAGTAATGCTACATTTCTCCAAATCTGTTCTGATGAAGAAACTAAATCTTCTTGCATGGCCTGAAGTTGAGCAAATTCTCTCTCTCTCTCTTTTTTTTTTTTGTTCCTTTAATTTTTTTTTTCCTTTAAAAAGTTGTTTTACAGAACAACGCTATGAACCCTAATTGGAGGTTTAGTTCTTACAAGTTTATTTAAATTGTAGAATCCTGTAAGTGAGTGTCTATGAAAGATGAGGATGTTTTGATTTGACTCATACCAACTAGAGTAAAAATCTTGTTAGTTGTAACACTTTATAGTCTAACTGTTAAATCCAAATATAAAGGATATACTGCATGCCTTTTTAAATATTTGTTTTGAATCAACAAGACGGAATACGAAAGTGCAGATTATTCATAGCAAACTTGCCTGAACTGTCATGAATAATGAAGCTGCCGTATTCACAGAGGATGAAGTGAAATCTGGCTGTTTTCCACAGTGATATCTGTATTTCAATGCATATGCCAATGACCTCAATTGCATTCATGCTTCTTCAAGCATTACACAGGCTGATTATTGCATCTGCTTTCATTCAGCTGATAAAATAATCCGTAGGAAAAAGAAAAACGTAGCAAATAAGCCTTCTAGTTCAAACCAGCAAATGTCATAGTTTTGTATTGTGCAGACATTTTATCTGGAAATAATGAAAAAAAATATTGTGTCCAAACTGCACATAAAGAAGTCTTTTTTTCACGGCTGTCTGCAGAACAGAAATGGAAAATTGAAAAGACGCCCACTAACGCTCGCACTATTTTCCCGACAGACAGAATTTTCTTTTTTTTGTTATGGACATCTCTAGTAATTTCAAATCAGATTTATGATTATACCTTTGCACTGACTAATTCAGCTCCGGTATTCAGCCATCAGCCTGACACGTCCATTTTGTGAGCTGCATGAAAAATCCTCCATACAACAGAAAGAAAATGGAATTTGCTCAATGGCATCGCACACTAATTAACCTTATTGTGCTAATAAGGATGTTGCTTGAGCTGCATCACCGGCCACCAAGAAAGCCGTCGCAGGAAAGCTACCAGTCATTAAGAAAGGTGGCGCTCGCCCTATTTTCCTGACAGATTTTTTTTTTTTTTTACGAACATCTCTAGTCATTTCAAATCAGATTTATGATTATACCTTTGCACTGACTAATTCAGCTCCGGTATTCAGCCATCAGCCTGACACGTCCATTTTGTGAGCTGCATGAAAAATCCTCCAAGGTTACAACAGAAAATGGAATTTGCTCAATGGCATCACACACTAATTAACCTTATTGTACTAATAAGGATGTTGCTTGAGCTGCATCACCGGCCACCAAGAAAGCCGTCGCAGGAAAGCTACCAGTCATTAAGAAAGGTGGCAAAAAGGCCAGCGGACGTTTAAGTTATAAAATAGCCACTGGCAGGTTAGGATGGAAAAATGAGTTTAATAGCTAAACTATCTGCCATGTTCTTGCAAAAGCAGAGTAATGAAGGCCAGTCATCCATTTCTTTTCTATTCTCAAATATTAGCATTCTTGGATGAGAAGTTTAATGTGATACTTTAGATAAGAATGAATATAAGCTATTAGAGAGAAATGTAATGCACGGAAGTGAGATAACAACAAACAGCCTTTCCCATATGGCAAAAAAAAATATTTTCTGGCCAAAATCTATTGTAAATATACACTAAATGCATGTTGTCAAAGGCTAAGCTCAATGAAATATACTTTTGAAATTAATATATATAAAAAGATATACAGTATATAGATATATAAAGATAGATAGATAGATAGATAGATAATAAAAAACATTAAAAATAGTATATACTTCAAGTCTTGCAGTAGCCTATACATTTAGACTTGATGTCAAACTATATTTATGATTTTATAATATTTAATTTTTGTTTAACATTGTAAAGTATGATTCTTTTATTCACATATGTTATATGTTCAAATGTGTTATAGACAACAAATAAAGTTTTTCTTTAAACATGACAAATGTAAATTTATCTTCTTGGACTGAAATATATGAAGAGCAAAATATATTTCTAAATCCTTTAAAAATGTCCGAAAGGTCATTTCAAGAGACCGTTTTTTAGTAAATCCAATGCAAACTTCATTCCGGACAAACAAACCTTCGCCATTTCTGTCCAGGTGTGTTATCTGTGTTTGTATATGCCTGACAAGTAAATGCCAAAATATGGTTCTGCTCAGAAAGCACCGGATCCACCGTGGCAGCCATTTAACGCTCCCTCCCCTTCCTACCAGCTGTCAGAAAGACTCCCTCAGTCGTGAAGATACGTTCAGAATAAGCGGAGTGTTTGCGCGAGGTTAAAAAGAGCGCTCGGCTGTCAGAGTGCAGGGCTCCGTGAGGGAGTTCTGGGTGAAATGCTTTGCTCTACTGTATTCCTCTCCATCGGACCCCAAAACGGCTCTTTCTCCTGCTGTCATTCTGCGTCCGTCGGGGGGGGACTGACATCTCACAAACATAAACAAGCAAAGGATGATGCTGATAGTCAACAGGAAGCAGAGAGAAGGAATACAACTACAGCGGAGACGTACTCTACAAGTGTGCCTTTCTTCAACTATATTTACTGTATGCATTTGTAAGACGTGTTCATCTAAAGTGGTTTATACTGCATTCAAGTTTTATTAGTTCATGCATTCCCTAAGAATCAAACCATGACCTGGAGCTACCGGAATGCCTTTTATGTAACATGGAGTGATTTGATATTGATTATATGATATTAATTTGATATGAAGAAATAGGAGGCATGTAAAAAAGCGATAATGAATAAATGAGACTGTGTGAAGGAAAACAAAGGTAAAACCACTTTAGCATAATTTCCAATGCAAGCTGAAAGTTTATACAATTATACAAAAGTGTGAAACTATTTTTAATTGATTGTATTTAGGGTAAAATAC